GGAGCGTAGTTCAAGGCACCACTTGCATCATCTCAATGCATTGTGAGTATTCACGCACTCTCTTATTTTCAGTTTTTATGTTTTGGGGTGGAAAAGCATGTCCCGAAAAACTGTTATTTGAATGTTGTATTTAAATTGATTTGTATCAAACATGATTTCTATTTTATTGCTATATCTCTCTATATATGTCTATGCAACACGGAACATGAGAACTCATCGTATTAAGGCCCTTCCCTTATCTCTAACCATTAACTCTTTGAGCCAATGGTCATTATGGATAGCGTTATTAGGAATTGACAACTCCTCACTCGCCCTATTGCTGGAGTGCATGATACCATATTAATCTATGGAACGATAAGCATAGATCTTGATAGGGCTTCAGTCATAGGTTTGGTTGAGAACTCATTGTTTGCTCATACACATACAAACTTGTTATTTATTATGGCAATAAACTTGTTTATTGATTATAGAAATGAACTTTGTTTCTCATTACAACAATGAACTTTATTACTGAAAACTTATATACACGTTTTAGTAATGAAATTGTTTGCTCCTTGTAGCAACAAAATTGATTGCTCATTTTAGCAATGAAACTTGTTTACTCGTTTGAGCAACGAACTTTATCTTCCATGAGAATATGAATGTTGTATCTTATTCATGCAACATACTTTATCTCTCATGATGACAAAGAACTTTGTTTTTACAAACTTATTTACTCCTTTTAACAATGTACTTTTATTATTGGAAACTTTTATCAAAACTTTGATTTCAATTCATGAACCAATATTATTTTGTTAAACTTGTGAGTACTCACGAACTATTTTTATAGTTGACGCTCATTTTACATGCTTTTTCAGGAATCATCGAGTAAGTGGCACTTAGGGACACTTCACTGTTAGGAGCATTCGTATGTGTTGTATTCCAATTTTCATTTATTTCTTTTAAAAGTTGTTCAAACCCATTGTGACACCATTTTTCAATCAGACGGTTTCTGGAGCAAGTTTTTGTGATCTGGGGAAATTTTGAGATATTTGTTGGAGCTTTTGAGAAGACCAAATCATTGAAAAGATTTTTTATTTTTATTAGTAAGAATTAAACACTTCCATTTCCATTTTTTGCTGGTTGATTTTTTTATTAGCCATGTGTGACTAAGATATCCTAATTTCTAGTTCTTGTTCAAACATGTTGGTTGCTTTACTTGAAGCATATTATTTGATGTTTGATTTGTAATTCTATTCTAGTGATTATGTTTTTGTTCAAACTGGAACCCTTGAATTTGATTTGTATTTTATTGGCCACTTTTATGAATTGAATTTTTTGTAGTTAATTAACTTTTAGGGCACCTAATCATTCTATTAAGTTAATAATTGGTAACAAACAATAAGTTTTCTTACTGTAAAACATATATCACATGTTTTCACACTTCCGAGCGTATGAGATGAAATTAACATTGTTGGGAAGGTTGTACAATACTTAATGTAGTTTTCAATACAATCTAAGAGCCTGTTTAGGTTGAATTAGTAAAGCAAGGGTCAAAGATTGTGTTTTGGCTAGATAATATGGCAAGCGAAAGGTATTAGAGCGTGTTAATATCTTTCAGTACCAACTTAGAATAGTAATCATGAATTACATCAAGTCAGAAACAAGTTGAACAACAACATTGAGAACTTGAACTAAAACCATTCCAACAAATTGTTTACAAGTTTATTTCATTTTGTGCATGATTTTAAATTATATTGTTTTTTTTGTTATTTTACTTTTGCAAACAAAACCCCCTTTGTGACCAAAGTACCTTGCGCAAAGAGGTATAGACTTTTATATCGTGTCTCTGTGATTCGAACCTGCTTGTCTTGTAATACTTTTTAGTGCATTAGATCAGTGTATTTCGAGTCCCTTGTACCCCTATTACTTACTGGGTTTGACATGTCTAACAAATTAGCACCATTGTCGGGAACATGGTGTTACTAATTCATTATGCCTAGATCTTTTCCTACATGTACACCATTTCCAATTGGCATAGGGATAGAGAAGACTGCAAAGAGGTTATGGAAGCAAGCTAAGTTTCATAAGGGGCAACCGGGTTCCAGGACTTCTTCATCATCTACCCCTACGGTCATCAACATTTAGGAGGACATGCCCCTCTCATGTGTGTTAAAAACTGAAACAAAAATCCTCTCACTCTCACCTCAACCATCTTCATTAACAAGTACTACTCCACCCTCTTCACTTACTCATAACATCCTAAACTCCATACCCACATAGAACTTAATTCATATTGATACCATGGGAGACAACCATGGAGGGAATCAAGGTCCTCCAAATGCACCACCCGAGCAAACCCTTGGATAATGGGCAAGGCAAGAGGTTACTCAACAACCTATTTGCATCACATATCCAACAACCACAAACCTTGAACTAAAATCTAAACTCATGCACTCACTCCCAACCTTTAGAGGCCTTGAAAACGAAGATCCCTACAAGTTTCTCACCGAATTCCATACTATGTGTGTTGACATGAAACCACACAATGTCACGAAGGATCTAATCAAGCTTAGAGCATTCCCCTTTGTGGTGCAAGATGCAGCAAAAGATTGGCTTTATGACCTCCCACCAGTGACGGTTACTACATAGGTAGATCTTACACGGTTGTTACTAGAGTGGTATTTCCCAGAAATGAAAGCTTCAGCCTTGGGTAGGGAAATTATCAGCATCAAGAAGAAAAAGAATGAGGCCTTGCACATTTATTGGGAGAGATTCAAAAGGTTGTACACCCAATGTCCGAAACATGATATCTCTGAATACAACCTCCTTCAATACTTCTGTTAAGGCATGTTTCCATGGGAAAGGAGGATCTTTAATTCTTCAAGTGGAGGATTCATTGTTGATAAGACCCCCACATAAATTTAGGAATTGATAAAGAATATGGTTGAAGATTCATAGCAAACTTCTCAAGAAGATGGGTGGTATGCTGATATACCTTGAAGTGTCAAAGAAGTTAGTACTCAACAAATCAAAGCTCAATTATCCGAACTTAAAAAGTTGTCATGATGCTCTCAAAAGAAAAAGGTGTGTAATCCACACCCTGTCCTTGTGGTATATGTACTCAAACTGGGCATCCTACCGATATGTGCCCTAAACTTCAAGAAGAATATTATGTAGAAGCAAATGCCTTAGGAGGCTATTTTGGGTCAAATCAAATGGGATACAATCAAAAGATGGGTGACCAAAGGTGGAATAACAATCAAGGTTGAGGTGGAAATCAAAATGGGGGTTATCAACAAACACCACTATGTCCTCATCATTAACAATGGCCACCTTTTAAACCTCAAAATTTTCAGCCAAAGCAGCCACAACAACCACCTAATACAAACAAGTTCATCAAGTGTGTCCTTAGAAGACATAGTTAAAATCCTGGCCACTAGCACTCAAAGCTTTCAGCAAGAAACCAAGGCTAGCATCAAGAATCTTGATCAACAAATGGCACAACTTGCTCAATTAGTGAGCAAAATGAAGAATCAAGGAAATATACCTACTCAAACTAAAAAGAACCCAAAGAAGAACGCTTGTTCAATTAGCTTGAGGAGTGGAAGGAAATATGATGGACCAAAGACGCCCGAAGAAGAAGAAGAAGATGAATTAGTGATAGAGGAACCACCAAAGAAAGATGAAAAGAAAGAAAAAATGGTGGATAAAAAGAAGTCGGAAGAAAAAGAAGTAAAGATCACACCACCACCTTTTCCATCAAGGTTGAGCAACAATAAAAAAAATTAAAAAGAGAGAGAGAGAGAGAGAGAGAGAGAGAGAGAGAGAGAGAGAGAGAGAGAGAAGATAGGGAAGTCATGGCAATGTTTCGGAAAGTTGAAGTCAACATCCATCTCTTAGATGTGATCAAACAGGTACCTAGATATGCTAAGTTTCTTAAGGAACTTTACACAGCTAAAAAATATGCGAGGTAATGAGACAGTAAAATTTAGTGAAAAGGTTTTTGAGGTTCTACAAAAAAGGATGCCCCCAAAGTGCAAGGATCCGCGTGTTTTCATCATTCCTTGTAAATTGGGAAACCTTTATATCCTCCATGCTATGCTATATTTAGTAATTTCAATTAATGTTTTACCATATTCTATTTATAAATCTATTGGAATAGGCACTTTAGCAAAAACCAGGGTGATTATCCAACTTGCATATCGTTCTACAGTACACCCAAAAGGTGTATTTAAGGATGTTTTAGGTTCAAGTTAATGAATTTGTCTTTCCTACAGATTTTAATATGCTTGATATGGGAGATGATGACCATCCAACCTCCACTACTAGAAAACAGACCTTTAATGATGCGCTTTTTATGACACGCACTGATTAATGATACGCAAAAGGACATGCCCTTAAAATAGTGTTATCTCTCCAAAAAATTTAAGGATTTACGTCACACATTATTGCGTGCCATTAATTTAGTGTCTCAAGAAAAAAACTCGGAGGGCACTTTATCTTAAACGCACGTCGTCTGTACCTGTCGCTTTATAATTTTAATGAAACGCGCTTTTAGTAGACAAGGGGGAAACGAAATCCCCAAAATTTTGAAAACCCGCCTCATTTTTTTCTATCTTCTATCTATCTTTCATCCTTGCAATCCATTCTCCCCTCTCTGATACTCTCTCGTCTAGATCTCCTTTCATTCTCTAGCTCCTATCTCTCTGTAACCCTATGCCATCGCCACCTCCATTCTCTCTAGCATGTGCTAGGGTTTTATTTTCTTTCAAGCTTCCGCTTCTCTCATTTTCTCTCAACCCAGTACGTGCGAGGGTTCGGAATAACTGAGCGAATTCAAACAATCAATCTTCCATTTCAACTTCTTTCAACTCTGGATCATCGGCATTTTTTCATATTCCTTTTCCAGTTTTGTTCACTTTCGAAATTGGAATGGGACCCATTCTTTTCTACTTCAATACTCTCGATCTCAACCGACTTTTCTTCTTCCACCTCGTCATCTTCTACTTCTTCTAACAATGGTGGTTCCTGCTCATGGGTAACCTCGGCAATATGCAATTTAAAAACCCCAAATAAGTCGATTTTTTAGGTATAGGGTTCTTTATCTGGAATCACAAGGCCATCTGCAATCGATTCAGCTAATCTGAGGTCACAGGTACATGTTACAGTCAACAAATCGTCATCATCATCTTTGTATTTTATCAAAACAGACTTCGATTCTAACTCTCTTTCGTTGCCCCTCCCTCCTTCGATTCAAAGGTGCTTTGTTTATTACAGAGTGGTAGTAGAGGCGATGGTGTTGCTGATAGCCCTAACCAATAGTCATCCTCAAAGGTAAAACTTCATCTTCCGTTATTTTCTACTTCACATGTCTAGTAAACATTTTAACCTCACATGATGACAAGTCTTGAATTCAAGGTAGAAGTTGTATGGAAGGAAAACTGAAGTATATGAGGGAAACCTCAAGACCTTCTTTACTAAGTGAAAAAGGAACAAGTCTGTAAGTCTATAAGCTCTGTGTTTTGAATTGATTTTGTGTAGATTGTCTTGAGGTTGTAATGAGTTTTTTTAATCTTACCGCACATAAGATGTAAAATTAGAGAATTATCTTGGTTTCAAGACTAAACTCTTAGTTGAAAATATTAACCTATATGTATGTCACAAGCTTCATGTTTATATAAGAAGTTATATATTCCATTGATATTATTTGGTAATTGTTGTAGATTATATCAGAGAACAAAGAAACGATTCCAAATAACCAGCTCCATGTGATATATATCAAGAGAGAAAAGCTCCAAGTATCAATATCAATATTTGAAACTGAGTTTGTTCTTTATCAGTGGCCTATTATGGAAAAAGTTGAAATGGGTAGTTATATGGGAATTCCTGATTCCAGATGTGTGTATATAGCTTATATTGTAGATGTAGTGTATATTTGGGTGAGGCGAACAAGTGGAGAAGATGATGATAACCAGTGGCAGATTGTTGGTGATGACTTCATTGTTAGAAAAGGTTTGGCAACAAGCTCTATTGTTCAGGTAATGTGTTAATTTGAAAAAGCTTCTATAAAATAGTTTGCTTGTATCTTCAAGTCCCTATTGCTTATAATATTTTGTATATGCATGATTATGATGAACAGATAGTGAGAGAAGGTCAAGAACCAGAGCAACTATGGAAGCATCTTCACTGTTTCTCATTCCAAAACACAGGAGAGAAACATTAGAAGCATCCGAGGCAGTTTCTGCTTTGTGATGCAGTGATGTATGAGAATGAAAATGTTGGTTTAATTTTTTTCCATTATGTGGGTGTGAATTTATGTATAGTTTCTAGTAAAAAAAGAAAAGAAATTGGAATCATGATTGATAAGCAAATGCCACTCATGTAATCTATACTTTTGATTTTATGACAAGGTGTGGATCATTTGTTTGTTTATCATACCATTTTACATTTAATCCCATTTTCTAAACTACAAATTACAAAACTTAATAACTTCTGTTTTGCTTGATTGTGGGCATGCTCAATGATTGAATCAAGTTTACACTGATTCCCTTCTATGTGATACTCACATAAAATGGAATACCTACTGATGTTTGGATATCCTGTTTTTAAAATGGACACGATACATGCAAGAAAGTTTGGAAGGTAACCCTGCTGCTGCCACATTGAAAAATGTTTCAAGGGGTTTTGTTGCTCTTACAGTCCCCCTCACTACAAGTTTCCCAAAGGATAGTTCACTACTATTTCTCTTTTTTTAATTACTAAACTACCCCTCCCTCAAATTCAAATACCATTTTCACTTTCATGCAGGCCCTCTTCTATTATTGGATCACCTCCAACTTGTTCTCCTTACTATATGGATTAAGTAAGTTGATAGAAGCTATTAACCGACTTAGATCATGTTGTTTGAATTAACATCTGATTTTTTTATGCTATTCTTGTTTCAGTAATAAAGAAACCCTCAGTGAAGAAGTTTCTCAACATACCCATAATCATACCTCCACCACCATCTCCTGTTAGTCAATCAAAGCCAACTTTCTCCTTCTTTGAGGGTTTGAAAAAGTATGTTGCTGCTTAAGCAATACAATGTCATTTAATCATATGATAATTTTCATTGCTCAAGCAATGCAATGTCATTCAATTATGTGTTTACTTTTATGCTTCTTCTTCTCTAATTCTCTCTTACTCTGTTTTGCTGTCATTTATTCTTCAATAGCTAATTATTTCCTTTTAGGTGTTCTGGTTGATTTGCTTTGACTAACCGTTGAGACTTTGTTTCCCAGCCATTAATCAGTAGGTTGTATCATTGGTATCAGAAACAGAAACCGGAGCAACGATACATAAAGGTATAGGTGAATCCTGAACACCCTGCAGGATTTAATTGGACATCCTAATCAACGCTCTTCTCGATTGACAAATATTGAGTTCCCTTATTTTGGAGGTGATGATATTGAGGCTTGGTTATGTAAGGTGAATCAGTTTTTATAGCTTGATCACATATTAGAAGCATCAAAGGTGCCTTTAGCTTCTATTCATTTAGAGGGCAGGGCCCTTCCATGACATCAAGGGTATTTCTCAAAGTGAAGGAGTAAAAACCATGAAGCCTAGAGCCATATATCAGATATGCTAATACTTCAAACATCAAACTAGGACTAGGACCATAGGGGTAAAATCATCCAACTCCCAAAAAAAGAGAGAAATACCTAGAAAAAAATAAAAAAAGATCAACTTCAATTTTTATTTATTAACAGGAGTATAGTGAACTTATGAATGAGTTCATGATAGCTATGAAGCAAAATTACAGGGAAAATGTCTCATTCAGTTTGAAGATTTTTCTAACCACAATGGATCTCCTTGCAAAGTATAACACCACCCATCTTGTTTTTAATGACGATATACATGCATAAAAAATAGAGATTAAATATTTGAACCTTTTTTAAAGCTTTTTATTTTAAATATCTTTTTTTTTTCAAGGAACAACATCAGTGGTACTTGCAGGGCTTATTTCTGCTCTAAAATTAGTTGGTGGAACGTTGGCAGATCATAGATTTCTATTCCTTGGAGTTGGAGAGCTTCACAATTAATATTCCACCTACTTAATTTGCATCCTTTTATTATTATTATTATTATTATTATTATTATTATTATTATTATTATTATTATTCTGAATTATAAGCTTTTGTTTATGTTAATGCAGGCTGGCACAGGAATTGCTGAACTTATAGCTCTCGAGATATCAAATCAGGTTAGAATGAATATATAACTAGACATTTTTAATAAAAACGAAAGAAAAATTAAGAATTATGAAGGATGTTTTATATAATTATGCAGACAAATCGCGTCTAGATTTACTTCAGCATTTCAAGAAACCCTGGACCCATGATCATGAACCTGTTAATGACTTCTTGGATGCAGTCAAGGTTTGAATTTTCTCTTTGGTAATTACATATTATAGATAGTATAAGCATGATAACAAAATATTACTAAAGTAACTATTTAACTTTTCTTAATGAATCGCTTTATGAAGTTGTAAACATTCGAGTATGTTTTTAAGATGAATCAATAAGTCCTAAAAGTAGTTGTTGTTAAACGATGGATTGAAATGGCATCCTCTAAAGAAATTACAGAAGCCAGAGATGTACCTAGTCCCGTGGGGACCGCATTGAGTATGGAAGTTGCTTTAAAGAAAGAGCATGAAGCTAGTAAGTTTGTCTTTATTCAGTTTGTTATATCATAACCGATATGCATCATTTAAAACCATAAAACAAGAAATTTCTTAATTTTTTTCCACATTTCATTCAAGCATAAGCTTTTACAAGATTGGGTTATCCTTTAGATTCATATGCACTACTAGAAAAACATCCTTTTACGACGCTCATTGTGCGTCGTAAAACACTCAGACGACGCGCAAATGCGCCTCAGGGAAGGCCATGTCATAAAAAGAGACGACGCGTTTTTGCGCGTCGTCTAGAGACGACGTGCATTTACGACGCGCATTTATGACACGCAATGTGTATCATTAAAGTCGCTGTCAAGAAAGGCCATGTCATAAATGAAGATGACATACATTTTTGCGTATCGTAATTTTTATTTTTATTTTTTTTAAAAAAAATTATTTATAGATTTACTAATTTTCAAATTAAATATTCATTTTATGTCTCATAATAGAAAATAAAATGCCATTTACAAAAAATACAATCCATTGCACAAAAGTTAATGTCATACAAAATACAAAATACAATACAATAAATAAGAAAGATAATTCATTGCACCAACATGTCAAATACAAATAATCATCCCTAACTATATAAACTAATACTACATTCCTATTAAGGGACATCATCATAACTCATTGAAGGTCTTGGAACAATGTTCTCGTCATCAACTCCGGAGCATCATGCCTTTTTGCAAGTTCCTTTGTTATTTGAGTTGCTATAGAGACACTACGCTACACAATGTTGGAAACTATCTCTTTGATAGCTCGATCCATATACATAGGAAGCACACTGTAAACTCTAAAACACTTTTGGTTGTTTCCTTTTTCCCCATTAAGCCCTGCATAGGTAAAGTGATTCGATGGGTGATAATGTCTATTTAGATAAAGTGATGTATGCATATAACTTGTTTCTTTTCTAGACTGAATAAATCGTCTGGATTAGACTAAGTGACCAATTAACCCTTGCATTCTAACAAACAATTTCCCCAACATTCTTACACTCGATTTCTATACTCATGTATGTGCCTGCCATTTATTTGATTTCTTACAACAGTTACATGGCTTAATTATTTTATACGCCTGTTTATAGAAAATTAAGGCCATAAATACTTTTTGTACCTGTATTGGGAAATAAATTATCACTATAAACATCATTTGATATGCAAATCCTGATGTGTAACATAATTTGATAGTAGTTAATGATTTTAAAGCCAAAGATCACTCTAAGAAACAGTATTTCACAAATAGAGTGAAATGATGCTTTTTTTACTGTACCTATAATCTAGAAAGTAGAAACTAACTAAATCAGTTTTTTATCAGTTATGATTGTATCTATTTTCAGTGATTTTGGATTTGTAACTTATTAAATGGATATGTATGTAACTAAACTCGATTTTCATGCCCTGAACTTGGCTTCTTTTTTGTTGATAGAGTGCAGCCATGTGAATCTTTTTTTTCTGGAACTATAATCTGGAAAATAGAGTACAACCATTATGATCTGCCATTTTATATATATGTTCAGGAATTAGGAGACATTTTCAACTTACAAAATAATCTTTTTATTTGTAATTTTTACTACATCCATTTAATCTTTTTCGTTGTAATTTAAATCTATATATGTAATCATTTTTTGCTGTAATTTTAATTTTGATCCATGTAATATGATTTTTTTCAGTGACACTCAAGGTTGACATCCCTCACGACCAAGTGTTGAGGCTGCTGGAACAACAGATGGGTATGTTATTGGAGCAACAAATGGACAGGTTGTTGAAGCAAAACTGAAGCAACAAATGTTGAGGCTTTATGGATTTTGATATTTAGTTTATGGGGAATTGTTGTTTTTATTATAGTTATTTAACAAACATGAGGATGTCATGTTTCTCTTTCTTTTTAACCTTTAACTATTTCACCTATGAGAATGAAGTATGAATTGTTGAATGTTTTAGTTATCATGATTATTATTATATCTTTTTATATATATCAGATTTATAAAAAATGGATGTTTTTACCAAACGGATATCCATCGGGTTGCCCTAATCTAACGGGTTTTCTTTTACCCGAATCAATATGGAAACAAAAGTTGTATTTTATAAAATTACCCAAAATTACGAAAAACCAAAATATTTTGTTAAGTTATGATGTACCTCGATGTAGACGAAGTGTTCAGCTTTTTCAATAAGAGAAATGTAAGCTTTGTGAATGCTCTCTTCAACTTGACTTGTCCCAGCTGACCATTGACTCACACTCCTTAAAACCTACAATTGAGAAATGTAAAAATCAAAAATTCTAATCTAATAATATATTTAATCCTAAATAAAAAAAATACCTGGCAACAACAAGCAACACAAGGACCAACTTGACCTGTTTCATCAGCAGAAGCAACCTAGTTACCTAGCATATCTGGAATTGAAGTTTCAGATGACTAGTTTACTTGGAGTTAGTTACAATTCACCAGTTGTTGATTAGTTTCTTGTATCTATGCCTTTGTCTACCAGCTCCAACAGCCCTTACACATGTAAAGGACTTGAAAGGGCAAAATTTAAAGACTACATAGCCATTTACAGTGAAATTTACAATTTACTTGCTGCTTCTCTTAACTTCAAAGATAATAACATAGATGCTCATAACCCATAAAAGCATCTGAGGGATTGCTTTTAGCAAAAGAACCAAAATCTGCACGTTTTAGTTGTCCACGAGGTCCTATCAACAAATTATTTGGTTTCATATCCCTAAAAATAATAACAAAAACATGTAAATTATTATTATCAGTTACATTTATAACATTATTAACAACTTGAAGAAACACAAGCATGGGTTATTTGGTTACATGTCTCCAGAGCTCCAATAGACCTTGAAAGACAAAAGCCACCAGGCCAGCATCTCAGAGCACCAATCTGTCATGACCATGACATAAACAAAACTCATTTTAATAAAACTGATTTCATTAAAATAACAAGCCAAACAACAAATCATTAATTTCAATTGATAAAACTTAATATAAGGATAAAATAGATTTACCTAATATGCTATCAAAGGTCAAGTGTTCAAAATTTGCTTTGTACTTTTCAAATAGGTTCCCCAAAAAAATCATTACTTTCAATGCACTTGTCAATTTCTTTTATGTTAATGCTACCTGATGAGAGCAGTAGAACCATAACTAATGAATTCAAAGATAGTGAGACTAGAATATTATGATATGAGTTAATGAGAGTGGAAGTTACTGTTTTTTATGCCTTCAAAAAGATCCTCACCACCCACCAAATCAGCTCCTGCAGCTCTAGCCTCATCTGCAACTGCTCCATCAGCAAACACAACTACACACAAGGTCTGCAAATAAAAATAGCTTACAAATTTTGAATAGCCAGCAACTCCTAATGTCTGTTAATAGAAAAAAGAAGCAAATTATTATTAGTAAATATGAAAATCTTATATGAAATGAGACATGAAATAAAAATAGCTTCAGATTTGCATTTTCTACATCTAATTATATTAGACGAACAAAAATCATTGAACCAACTATTAGTTTATTATATTGCAATATTCATTCCGGCTAATATCTAATAACCAACAATGAAATTCCTAAAATACCCTTTAAATAAATACTAGACACCTTATTTTTTTTAATATTGCAGGGAGGGGTCTAGATAGGAAGAAAAGGTTACTAAATTTATCTAATAAGCATGTGATTCAAACATTCAACTATTCACCCAACACTACTTTAGTAAAACTTGGTGAATCACACAACCAATCAAAAACAAATAAACTAAAGAAATTTTGAGACAAAAAATCAATGAGACCTTTAAAGGTCAAGATGCAACAATTGGTTGCAGTTGATGAACAACTAGAATGGGCTACTTTATTGAGGTCCCAAAGCTTTAATGCGTTGTCTGTTGATGCAGAAATAAGGGTTCCATGATCCAATAATTTCATAAAACTAACAGTTGTGTCTTCGCCATTCAAAGAACACAAAGGGGTGGAAATATTCCTCAAATCATAACAGTAAGTTCTATAATCAGTAGACCCAAAACACAGCAAATGCTAGGAGTAAGGAGAGAAGTGGGCAGAACACACATTAACTGCACTTCTGATTGTGGTCAAACGATTTGTCTTCATATACTACCATATTTAAATTTATAATTAACTAAAAAGGGAAAATGGGTATACCTCATATATCCTCCATCTTCTTTTTTGTTTAATTTCAAACCCTTCTTAAAGCCACTCATTTAATCATGAACAGGAAATATAAGAATCAGAACCAAATTCTAAATAAAAAAATAAAGAATGCCAATGAGGCAATATATCGAACACGTTATGTGCATTTACAAACCACAAAAGGAATTATGCGTAAAAAAATAGAGAGAAGAAATTGAGTAAGGATGAAGGTTTGACAATGAACTAAAAACCACTAGAGTAAGGCCAATTGAATAAATTGAAAACCTCAGTAAAAAAAATCAACATAATATTAGATATAAGAAAAGATGAAGAGAATTATCAAATCTATTGAAGACGTCATATTGAAGGGTGTTTGTAACTAAAATCTATGAGATTAATGATTTTAGTAATTTAAGTAAACAGATGATGGAGTGTTGACATAGGGAAATATGGATTCGAGCCCTAGAAGCTGAGAAGTAGACGCATCTATGAAGCGGGGTACTTGCAATCGATTTGCTGGATGTGCTGGTCCGATTTTTGGGAGGATTTTGTGTGGTCCATAGAAAAGCGCTATTTCTTCCAAGGTTTGGGAGGATGGATCAATGTAACCGGGCTTAGGTTGTTGACAAGGAGAAGCGAGCATGGGATCATTAGACCTGAGGTTGCCAGCAAGGTGAGGTTGTTGGCAAGGTCAGGTATCCAGCAAGGTGAGCCGAGGTGATCAGGTGATATTGTCGATCGTTGTAGAGGCAGAGCACCGAGAACGGTCATTTTTCATTGAAAGTCGACGGCGGTCGGAGACACTCGGAAGGGTCGAATAAGAAGTAGATGGTGGAAGGTGAATGGAGGTTTGAGAATCGAGAGAGAATAAAGAAAGAAAGAATGAAAGAAAGAAAGAAAGAAAGAAAGAAAGGGCGTTTTCGGCGGGGATGAGCTAGGTTTTCATCTGGTGGAAACAAAGCGGGCTTTTTAATTTTTGGATTTCATTTCCCTCTCAGATGAAACACGCATTTCATTAAAATTTATAAAGTGACATGGTTAGACGACACACATTTTATTTAAGGTGCCCTCAGTGTTTTATTATTATTATTATTAGACACTAATTTTAGGGCACGTAAAAATGCGTGCCCTCTATGCTTGATATTTTGGAAAACTGACATCAATTTTTAGGGCGCGCACAAATGTGTATCCTCTATCAGCGCGTGTCATTGATTGCACGTCGTAAAAGGCTGTTTTTCTAGTAGTGATGCAAGTATGTAATTGTTTTCATGTTGAGGATAATTTGGTCATTTCATCTCTTAAGATTAGCTTACATGGTAAAAACCATTTTTAGGTTCACCAGGAGTGGGGTTCATGCCGCATATCCATAATATTAAAGCTGGAGAGGTGCAATCATGATCCTTCTATATTTCTGAAAAGTTTTATCCATAATTTTTTATTTACCAAAATTCAAAGTTTTTTATATAAATGCAGGATGTGTTGGGAAAATTAATGTGGTTTTCTCAGAATAGCACTCGAGCTGTTGTGCTTTTTATATAGCAAATGTTAACCTTGGTCTTTGTGTTTTTTGTTCATAGATTACAAACACCAATTTCTTTCAAACAACAGAAGATCTAGAGTTTAATTGGGTGATTGAAGGTGATGGATGTAAACTTGATTCTGGAACTCTCATTCTACCAACATTGGAGTTTAATTGGGTGATTGAAGGTGATTTTGGTTCTTCAAATGAGACTCAAGATATCATATTTTAGCATGGCTAGAAGATTTGGACGATACGAGACTCAAGCAAAAGTAAACACACAGAGAGTTGTTGGCACATAGTAAGCTAGATGATCAATTGTATATAAATGAGTTCATTTTTTTATAACATTACCTCACTTTTGAAATAATTATTTGTATTTTACATATTAGTGAAATGAATTATCTTTTTTATTTATGGTATTTTACTTTGTATTATGAGATTTTTAATGTATTATTTAATTTTAAAATTAGTAAATCTATAAATAATATTTTTTTTAAACATTTAAAATTATGATATGCAAAAATGTGTGTCATCTTGATTTATGACATGGCCTTTCTTGACAGGGGCTTTCTTGATACGCATTACGTGTCAATAACACGCGCGTCGTAAGGTTACGACATGCGAATGCGTGTCGTCTTCCTTTATGACAGGGCCTTCCTTGATATGCATTGCGTGTCGTAAACGCGCGTCGTAATTGAGCGTTGTAAATGTGCGTCGTCTCTCTTTTATGACAGGGCCTTCCTTGATGCGCATTTGTGCGTCGTCTAAGCCTTTTACGACGCACAATGAGCGTTGTAAAAGTCTGTTTTTCTAGTAGTGCTCAATCTCCATACTTCTAGGTAGACCATTCTTAAAAACAGCATGAACAAAAATTGATGTCTATAATGATACATTGTCTATTGAATTCGATGGGGAGGTCATCAACTTCAATATCTATGAAGCAACGAGGCACCCAAGTGATGATTATTGTATACATTTTGTTGGTATGATCCAATCTTTGACTGAAAAGTGTTTTGAGTTCACTAACCATGATTTGTTGGAGTTAGTTTTGAGCAGTAATTTTGATAAACGTTCGGTCAAAAAGATTGTAGAAATTTCAAGCTAGATGAGGAGTTGCTGGAAATGGTGGATTTCATGGAAGAAAGGAAGAAAATGACGTATGATAATACCAATGTGAAATTTCCCATTTCTAACACAAAACTTCTTCCCTTTGTTGTGCAGGAACCTAAGCTAGAGTTGAAGACTATTCCAGATCATTTGAGGTATGCCTACCTTGGAAAAGAGAAGACTTTGCCTATTATTATCTCCAACAAGTTGTCCATTGCAGAAGAAGATGATTTGGTGACTTTACTAAAAAAAAGTATAAGAAGGCTATTAGGTGGACAATTGCTGACATAAAGGGGTTGAGTCCTTCCTTATGCATGCACAAGATTCTCATGGAGGAAGACCTCAAACAAACCTGAGAGGCACAAATAAGATTGAACCCACCCATGATAGAGGTAGTAAAGAAAGAAATCATGAAGCTTTTAGATGCAGATATGATCTACCCCATCTCTAATAGTAAATGGGTGAGCCCTAGTAAATTGGTGAGCCCCGTTCAGGTTGTCCCGAAAAAATCCGGGATCACAGTTGTCATGAATTCTGAAGGAGATTTGGTGCCAACCCGTGTGCAAAACGGGTGGAGAGTTTGTATTGACTATAGAAAGTTGAATGCCTCAATGAGAAAATACCATTTTCGCTTGCCATTGGTTGACCAAATGTTAGAGAGATTAGCAGGAAAATCTCACTACTATTGTTTAGATGGTTTCTTAGGTTTTCATCAAATTTCGGTAGCCCCAGAAGACCAACAGAAAACCACCTTCGCTTGTCCCTTTGGCACATTGTCTTATACCTGTATATGTAACAACCCGAATCCAGGTATTCTTCTATTTTGGGTTATGTTAATTTAGGGTTTCATGTTAGGCGAGTACGCTGGGCGTACAAGGCGTACGCCGCGCATACTCGCGCACTTCATTTTGGACGCGTTCACCCTCAGGTACGCGGGGCGTACCCAAGGTTATTCCCGGCGTAACTTATCCAGATCTAAAACCCTAATTTCCTTTGGTTGGCTATAAAAGGAATGTGTGGCTGGACTTCTCAGCCACCATCCCTCAGAGTGAAACCCTAAAAAGTGTGTGCATTCGTTCTTTAGCCTTTTTGTGTGTATTCTAAGCTTGGTGGTGCCATTCCAAGGTTGCAAAGGAGAAGAAGAGCTCATTGGAAAGGCTAGAAGTGGTGCTCAAGTGTAGATCTGAGCTTTGCTAGGGTTAAAGCTTCATTATCAGGTAAAAAGTTCGGATCTTGTCACTTGGTTCATGTTATATGCCTAAGGTATCATTTTCTAGGGTTTAAGTCCCAAAGGTGGAGACTTTTTGTGCAAATGGCCTCCATAAGCTTAGATACTTCATATTTCTAATCTATTGGAGTTGTAGACTCACAAAAATGGCATCTTGGACGTGGATATTGCGCCATGCAGGAGATCTAGGTCCTTGAGTTGGAATAGAATGTTGTTATAAGATGTTGGAGCCTTTACAGCCATGCCAAGGCTTAAAGGTCTCGACTTTATGGGTTTAAACACACTAAAAGAGTCGGATCTAGAAGTTGGAGTGATGGCTTAATCGATTAAGACCAGAAATGAAGAGTATTGGATTCTGATGGTTACGATGGGCGTAACTTCCAGTACGCGCAGCGTACTGGGTGGAGACCCCGATCTAGGGGATTGGCGATGTACGCCCCGCATACATCTAGCAGTACGCCGCGCGTACTCTTAGGGTTGACTTTTGTTGACTTTTAGGGTTTTGGTCAACATGAGGACTTTAGGTCAAGGAAGGGTAAAATGGTCTTTTACCCTCTGAGGAATGATGATAAGGGGTAAAGTTTTAGTGGTGGAAGTCGTTGAGTATTACATGATATTTTTATGTTTAGGCGAGGTAGAGTCGTTGTTGGGATTCGATGATAGCGAGGACGCGAGATCTTAGACTTCCCACGAGGTGAGTTTTCTCACTATACTGTACCCGGAAGGTTTTGACTATGTGACCGGAAGGTCGGATATGTTATGAGATATATGTATTATGTGTGATAAGTTAATCGTTATATGTGCCATGTATGATATGCTTGATATGGGCCGGAAGGCATTGTGTTATGGGCCGGAAGGCATATATGATACGGGCCGGAAGGCGTTGTGATGTGGACCGTAAGGTTGACGTGGGTAGGACCGGAAGGTTTACCTAGCCGGGACGGAAGTCCCCTGAGACACATGGACCAGAAGGTCAGGGCCTGGGAAGGCGTATGTGCGTAAGTTGTATTTTGGGGAACTCACTAAGCATTTATGCTTACAGTTGTTGTGTTATGTGTTTCAGGTACTAGCGAGGACCGTGGGAAGGTGCCGGCGTGATCGTACACATTGTCGGGGAAAAACTATTTTATGATCATTAGGATGTATTTTGTTGTGACAATATTGTTCACGTTTGAATTTGAAATACTAATCGATGTTTTTGATGTTTACAAAAATGAAAATTTGGTTTTAAAATTTACGTGGTTACAAGTTGGTATCAGAGCCTTGGTTTGAGGGATTCGGATACACCTTCGGGCGTAACTGAACTCAAACCGGGAATTTGAGAAAATCTTTTATTAATAAAATCAATGAAAATTTGATAAGAGGTTGTGAAACAACCAAAGGAGAAGAAATGTGTACGGTCAGCCAGCGCCCGAACGGTAATATCCTCAAAATACTCTTACAATATGTGTTATGAGATATGATATGATATGATATGCATGCTAGTAGACTAGGTATTCATATTAGGACTAGAGTGGCCTGATTTGTGATGCCTTAGTCTAGGGAAATCTACTTCTATGAGGTGCTTTGAGAGAGAGTGGGGGTAGCTAGTGCATGGCAAGAATAGAGTACTCATGATCCGGGGTTTGGGGAGGAGGACTTGGGGTGAATGCTGATGCGGTGTAGTTGGTAGTATTAGGCCCGTACTACTGAAGACACCGGGTCAGTGGGCAACTCAAGTAAGAATCCCTGGGTATCGGAGACTGAGTAGGGTTGCGTTATCGAGTGCGATTATGCTCGATAGAAT